AGTGGCTGGAGGACAAAGGGTCACCGAGGACAATAGCGGAAGCTGGGGGGTGGGATGGCAACCAGCTTTTAGACTTCGCTGTCTGGTAGAGTCACCTTGCTCCACCTCCTGAGTCCAGCCTATGTGGGCAGCAGCCGTCTCTCCCTTTTCTAGGGAAAGACCCTCATGTGTGCTTCTGTCACTCCAGGAAAAATCTGCCCCTGCAGACGGGAGGCATGTCTACCTTCGGTTTCCCATGTTACAGTTTGAGGGGTTTGTGAACTTCTGGCAATTCTGACTTAATAAAGGCACAGACTATGGCTGTAGTCTAGAACTTTCTTCCTGTTTGGCTTGGGTTTATTGTAGGATGTATAATTAAGTTAATTTGCTTTTAATGAAAAAAAAAATTAAACAATTTTTGTAGGTGCATACCTTATTTTTTGAATGCTTCAGGTTTTTATTTAAATTCTAGTTAGTTAACATATAGGGTCATATTGGTTTCAGGAATAGAATTGAGTGATTCGTCACTTACATACAGCACCCAGTCACAAGTGCCTTCCTTAATGCCATCACCTACCTCGCCCACCCCCATCAACCTTCAGTTTATTCTCTGTATGTAAGAGTCTTTTATGGTTTGTCTCTCTCTCTTTTGTTTCTTTTCTCTATGTTCATCTGTTTTGTTTCTTAAATTCCACATTTGAGTGAAATCATATGGTATTTGTCTTTCTCTGACTGACTTATTTTGCTTAGCATAGTACCTTCCAGTTCCATCTAGGTTGTTGCAAATGGCAAGATTTCATTCTTTTTGATTGCGGAGTAATATTCCATTACACACACACACACACACACACACACACACACACACACACCACATCTTCTTTATCCATCAGAATGGCTGACATGAACAACACAGGAAACAGCAGATGTGAAGAAAGGGGAACCCTCTTACACTGTTGGTGGGAATGCAAACTGGTGCAGCCACTCTGGAAAACAGCGTGGGGTTTTCTCAAAAAGTTAAAATAGAACCACCCTACTACCCAGCAACTGCACTATTCACCCAAAGGTTACGAAAATATGGATTCGAAGGGGGCACGCACCCTGATGTTTATACCCTGATGTTTGTCTACAGTAGCCAAATGATGGAAAAAGCCCAAATGTAATTACATTAATTTGGATCTGGTTAATTGAACGACACAGAATCGCTCCCTTGGGACAATGTCCTACCTAATTGGATACTTGCAAGGACGAGGTAATGTAAACAGAACAACCAATCATGGAACGAGAGAAAGGGCAGAAGGAGCAGAGACAGCTCTACAGAGCATGCTCGTTAAGGACCCTGTTGATGCCCTGTTGGATTATAAACTATGGTTCTGTAGAAGTTGCTGTATGTTTGTTTTTCTTTTTTTCCTGCAGGTATTGTGTGGGGCAGAGTCACTAAGTGGTATAGAGGTTAAGGTCATTAGACTTTGCAGTTAGACGGATAAGACTGGTTTCCCACTGCCATCACTTCCTAGCTGTGTGACCTCAGGCAAGTTGCATAACCTCTCTGAGCCTCAAATGCCTGCAGCCCTAAACTGAGCATAGCAACACCTCTTTTACAGGGTTGTGGTAAGGAATGGAACTGTTATCAGAAAAGCACCCAGTGTCCCGCAGATAATGGCAACTGTAAATGACAGTCCGTTCTACCTGGAAAGCACTAAGCCCTTTCCTTTGTTTTATTTTTTGTCTCAGGGTGGTGTGTGCGTTAGCATTAGCTCCATGAGCAGTACCTCAATTGAGAAGCACCCACAGGCACAAAATAAGTTGAATGTTATATATCATCTCGCCCCAAATCCCTTCCATCCCCACTTGCGTTCTCTTCTAGGCTCTGGGCACGAGTGGACACAACTCCAGGTGCAACACCACATCATTTTCTCCTAGCATGGGAGTGTCATAGTCACAGACGACAAGGCACAATGGACATCTCAGGAGCCTCCTTGGGGCTTCACCTCTGCAGATATAAACCTTCCTCCTAGCCAGGAAGGTTCTCGTCAACCGTTCAGGGGCAAGAGGATGGAGCTGTGAGTGGGAGGTGTGGAGACCCAGGTGAGGCAGCCGGGGTCTGAGCTCAGGCTGCAATCCTGGTGGCCTTCCTGTCTCCTCTCAGGGCAGGACAGCCGAGCATCAGCTCCACAAAGGGGGTGGCGCCAGATCTCCTCTGCTCCTATAGCTGCAGCCCCAGACACCTGGAGTAGCTCTGCCTTCCTACCCAGCCATGCCCATACCTGCGGTCAGGGTGGAGGGCAGTAGACCCTCAGAGCCCCCTTGACCTGAATGGTCGGGTCAGCCAGGTTTGTTCAGGTGACCAATTCTGGACTGGCTGCTGTAGAAATTAGACAAGAGGCTTCACGCCGGGCAGGGTGATATGGTGAGAGGCCAGGGACACCGAGCCTCTGGGATGAGACTGATGTGGGTTCCAGTCCTGGCTCCACCACGTGCTACTGTGTGACCCTGCAGAGACCCTTTAGGAAGACAGAATGGTGCCCTGTGTGCAAAGCACTCAGCACAGGGAGGGCATGAAGCTGGCGTTCGATAAATACTCATGGAAGGAGGGAGTGAAGTGTCAGCGGCATCCCTTGTAGGAGGTGGTCCTCGCTCTAGGGTGCTCACTTACTCCAGGGGGACGGACTACCCAGTGGGTTTTCTTCCGTGGACCTTCCATGGAGCCTGGGAGCCTCCTGTCTTCACGGCCACGGCTCCTCCACCCCCCTTCCACCTGAACCCTGACAGGTGGAGCTCCGCAGAGGCTGAGGTAGGTGGGACTGAGGGGGGGGGGTGTTACAGATCAGAGGGAGAGAGGGGATGGGGGAGGGGAGGGGGAGAGGAGAGAGCCCCCCTCCAGTCCATTCTTCCGTGCAGCCCGGTCCCTGGGAACTGGACCCACCGCTTCCCTCTTTGCACCCCACGGGCCCTGTCCTTTCTCTCCGCAGGGAGGGAGTTGTTCATTTCTGCCGTGGCCAACTTTTGGTAGGTCATGGTCAGCTCCGGCCTGTGGGAATTACCCAGGCCCCAATCACTGCTGTGCCTCAGATTTGCAACGGCAGTCTTATCAGGGCTTTAGAAGAGGAGGAGGACCACAGATTTGTCTAATTTCTCATCTTAAGTGGCAATGGCAAGGTCTGGGCCGGGTAGGAATGAATGTCCACTGACCTACTATGTGCCAGGCCCCGTAGGTACGTAAGAGGCAGGTGTCGAGTTTCTAGATGAGAAGATGGTTTGAATGCATTCAGCTAAAGTGAGATAAGTCATACAGAGAAAGACAGATACCATATGTTTTCACTCTTATGTGGATCCTGAGAAACTTAACAGAAGGCTATGGGGGAGGGGAAGGAAAAAAAAAGAGAGGGAGGGAGCCAAACCATGGGAACTCTAAAAGCGAAATAAACTGAGGTTGATGGGGGGGGGGGGGGGGGGGGGGAAAAAGTGGGTGATGGGCATTGAGGAGGGCACCTTTTGGGATGAGCACTGGGTGTGGTATGGAAACCAATTTGCCAATAAATTTCATATTAAAAAAATAAATAAAAATAAAGAAAAAAACAACGAATGCATTCAGCTAGTTAGTGGCACCAGGTGGGATTTGAACACAGATCCATGTCACTTAGTGGGGAAGAGTTTAAGTTAGGGCTTAAAAACTAGGATTTTGCACTTATTTTCACTCATTTATTTCTGTTTATTTTTGAGAGAGAGAGAGAGAGAGAGAAAGAGAGAGAGACAGAATGCAAGCAGGGGAGGGACAGAGAAAGAGAGGGAGACACAGAATCCGAAGCAGGCTCCAGGCTCTGAGCTGTCAGCACAGAGCCCCCGACATGGGGCTTCAACCCTTGAACCATAAGATCATGACCTGAGCCGATGTTGGACGCTTAACTCAGGCACCCAGATGCCCTTGGGATTTTGTGTTAAAAACATTGCTCTGAGAAGGGGCTCACGGGCTTCACTGTTCTGCTAAAGGGGTCCTCAGCACCAAAAGAGTTACAAACTCCTGCTCCGAATGCGGGGGTCATTACAGGAAAACAGAACATGCCCTGTCCTGGTGGAGTGGAGGGAACAGCTGGGCAGCAAACGGAGCAGTGGGGCACACGCCGTAGGGATGGGACCCAGGCTGGAGAGCGCTGATCTAGAACCCCACAAACACAGACCCGAACAGAGGCCAGAGAAGGAACCTGAGTCTTGAGGGCCAGAGACAGAGTTCTGTCTCCTCAGTCCCCAGCTCCACGCCTGGCACATAGTAGGGTCTCGACAACCGTGTCAAGTTGAGGTGAGTCTTGATCTAGGTTTGGAAGGCTATAAGGCTGGAATACGGGTTTCTCCTTTTGTGTGTGCATGTGGGCCCCAAGTGTGCGTGGAGGAATAATAACGAGGAGAATAAACATGGGGGCAGCTTCTGATGGTTTACGATTATCATCTCGTTGCATCTTGAGAGGAGCTGCAGGTAAATGTTTGTATTATTTCCAACTTCCGGGGGAAGCATCTGAGCCCAGGGCAGTGACTCGCTCCAGGTTTGCGGAGCAGGGGAGGGCGGGCCCTGCACTTGAACCCTCGGTTTCCAAAATCTGTGGAATGAGAGAATGGGCAATGGGCCATCTTGTGTGGAGCCGGGGGGGG